AAATTCCACACTCATTGATCACTGGGAATAATGGAAAAGCATCTTCCTAAATGCCAAATGAGCCTAATCCCCTCCAAGAGCTTTGTGCACTCATGGTGGTTCATTCCTGTCACCCAAACCTTCAGCCAAAATGCTTACGACACCCAAGGCTTCAGTCGAAATCTTTATGACAGCAAGTTTGTGTCACCCAAGCCTTCAGTTGAAATGCGTATGACAGCAGACCAACAACATTTGATAATTACTGGATGTTCTGTTTAAGTGTCTCCATTTCATGTCTCAATACTTTATGCTTCAGACAAAATTATTTCCACTTTGACCCACTGGCCACACACACATCCCACATCCACTGTAATTTTACCTAATAAACTGTATTTACACAGATTGCTCCACAAGTGCTGAATCACTTATGAGTCAAGTAATAGGTCTATCTATTTCACTTGTTTACCCTTCTCCTTGATTAAAAAAAAAAAAAAAAAAAAAAAAAAAAAAAAAAAAAAAAAAAAAAAATATATATATATATATATATATATATATATATATATATATATATATATATATATATATAATTTTATTAGTACTCTATTAACATTATAAAATGTCAATAACAGTAACTGCAGTATAACCATCAACAGATTAGATTTTAAAAACCTCCAATTTATTGAATCAGAAAATAAGGCTTGGGCACTCAAGCCTGCTATGCCACAAAAATCACAAAAAAAATTGTAGTTGACAGTTCAAAAACCCTGGGCAAATAGGTTAACTTGAAGAGCTGTTTGACTGATGGTGTTAAAACCCTAGTCGGAATCCAGAGAGTAAAGCCTCTATTCTATTCAAAACTTTTAATACATTTGTGAAACCGCACATGTATTTCCAGTGTGACTGGTCGCCTGAAATCAACAAAATGTGTAAATAATGTAAAAATCATCATATATAAGGAAAAAATTATTATCCCCAGTAAATTTTAGTACTTTCATTATCACATTTATCCTGAATGCTACACTGAGATGTTGAATTAATGAATGTGATTGTACTAGACCTATCAATCTTGTGGGTAAATGTACCACACTAAGAGCAAACATGATGATGGAGAAAAGTAAAGGAGAAAGGAAATGATTCAAACGAAGATTCTTAGCTGTGATGATAAAGGTAACCATAAGATATGGAAGGATATGCATCTGAAATGACTAGGATAAAAAAAGAAAAAAAGAAAAAAGACTGACATTTTCTCTAATTTTCTTATAAAGCCAACAGTGTTTTCAAAGAAAAAATAATCCTTAGTAAGAGAGAGAGAGAGAGAGAGAGAGAGAGAGAGAGAGAGAGAGAGAGAGAGAGAGAGAGAGAGAGAGAGAGAGAGAATTGCTGAAGAGCTTGTCACAATTAAGACCAAGTGAAACCGAGTGAAAACTCAACAATATGATACATCAGCTGAAAAAGAACAATCACAAAAAAGAAAGTAAAAATAGTGCTCTGACAAAAGAGGGAAGGGAGGGAGGGAAGGAGGGAGGGAGGGAGAAAAATGAAAAGATTCTAAGAAAGAGAGTGGGAGTGAGTGTCAGAGTGCAAGTGAGAGAGAGAGAGAGAGAGAGAGAGAGAGAGAGAGAGAGAGAGAGAGAGAGAGAGAGAGAGAGAGAGAGAGAGAGAATTGCTGAAGAGGGGGAGGTGGAGGGTGAGGGGAAGGAGGGAGGCAGAGAGAGAGCAGGAGGAGGATAGGAGAGAGAGAGAGAGAGAGAGAGAGAGAGAGAGAGAGAGAGAGAGAGAGAGAGAGAGAGAGAGAGAGAGAGAGAGAGAGAGAGAGAGAGAGAGGGGAGGGAAGGAGGGAGGGAGGGAGGGAGGGAGGGAGGGAGGGAGGGAGAGAGAGAGAGGGGAGGGAGGGAGGAGGGAGGAGGGAGGAGGGAGGGAGGGAGGGAGGGAGGGAGGGAGGGAGGGAGGGAGAGAGAGAGAGAGATGAGAGAGAGAGAGAGTGAGAGAGAGAGAGAGAGAGAGACGGATAGATATATATATATAGACAGGTAGGCAAGGAGAAGAAAGAGGAAAAAAGGAAAGAGGAAAAAAGGAAAGAGGAAATGGAGCGAACACAATATCTGAAACACTCAAATGGATAAAATCCCTGTACTTTTACTAACATAGAACAAGAGGAAACAATGACAGAAAAAAGAAGGAAAAAAGTGAAAAAAAAAGAAAAAAAGAAAAAAGACTGACATTTTCTCTAATTTTCTTATAAAGCCAACAGTGTTTTCAAAGAAAAAATAATCCTTAGTAAGAGAGAGAGAGAGAGAGAGAGAGAGAGAGAGAAGAGAGAGAGAGAGAGAGAGAGAGAGGAGAGAGAGAGAGAATTGCTGAAGAGCTTGTCACAATTAAGACCAAGTGAAACTGAGTGAAAACTCAACAATATGATACATCAGCTGAAAAAGAACAATCACAAAAAAGAAAGTAAAAATAGTGCTCTGACAAAAGAGGGAAGGCAGGGAGGGAAGGAGGGAGGGAGGGAGAAAATTCTAAG